TAAAAACAAAGAAAAAGATTACTGAACTGTTATGCAATACCGTTCCTCCTACAAGGCTGTGAATGCTGGACAATCTCATCACAGATGAAGAAGAGACTTGAGGCAATAGAAACAAAGAAACGAGTACTGAACTGTTATGTAATGTCAGTCCTCCTATATGGCATTGAATGCTGGGCAATCTCATCACAGATGAAGAAGAGACTTGAGGCAATAGAAACAAAGAAAAGATTACTGAACTGTTGTGCAATATCGTTCCTCCTACAAGGCTGTGAATGCTGGACAATCTCATCACAGATGAAGAAGAGACTTGAGGCAATAGAAACAAAGAAAAGAGTACTGAACTGTTATGCAATGTCAGTCCTCTTATATGGCTGTGAAGGCCGGGCAATCTCATCACAGATGAAGAAGAAACTTGAAGCAACATAACTGTATTGAGAATATTATGGACTAGACATGTGAGCAATGATGAAGTTTTAGAGAAAACCGAAGCAAAAGAGGGACTTATATGTAACATCAAAAGAGACAGTTGAAATTTCTAGGGAACCCAATGAGGAAAGAAGGCTTAGAAAATTTGATGCTCACAGGACATATTGAAGGTCAGATGGACAGCGGAAAGTACTGCATAACTTTCCCAAGAGAGATTAGGAGAGGTAGCGAAAAGACAAAGTTTTACTAATAGCTACAAAGAACGGGAAATTGTGGAGAGCCATGATCGCCCACGGGAAACAGCACATGAATGATGAAGAAGTAAGACAGATGAGGGATGCCCCAGATTTGAAGAGGTTATTTTCAGTGATCGAGGAAGCAACATCCCGAGAGTTCATTCCACAGTTCTACAGTTTTAGGGAAGAAGCTGACTGAATAGAACTTCTTCATCACTAATGGAAGATGCATCTACACGGGATTCTGTTCAAAAAAATAGGTGTTCTCGGTAAGAAGCCGTCCGAGTTGAACTTCTTACTTACAAATGGAATATGAAGGGAATGAGGGTCATTCAGCTCTATGTACGCGACATAGAGCCGTAAAGCTCTGAAATAGTGGAACTATGGAATGTATCTAGTCTGGACATTTGCCATGGCAAAAACGAATCTGTAGCGACATACGACGTTTCGTCTTTGGAAACGAGGCTGTTTGTTTGAGATTAATCTATCGCCGTAAAGTGAAGCTGAAACAGAAACTGCCTAAGTATAGCAGCCATCCACCATTTTTATTTTGATCCCACTCTTTTAAATTTCGAGCATGGTAGTCTTGTACAAAGAACCGGCCATTTTTGTAGAATAAAGATTGATTGTATACTGTATGTAACAGCAAAATTGTCCAAATCGTGTAAAAGCACAAATCTCACAAAATGTTTAATATCGAAAACCCCACTAAACTAATTGAGTTTCTTTGTTTCCAGATTTTCAGATAAGACGTTTAGCCATCTTGATACCCTTTGAGTTATTCAGCTAGAAAGAGAACAGGTTAAAATTGTCTTATATCTTATTGTCTTTCCAACTGAGCAATGGTGAGAGGAAAAAGATCATTCAGGCCTTCAGTAATGGTACCAACATTTATTCTCTGGCCTCCATCTTCAAAATTCATTAAAAAACGATCAAGAGAACAGAGAATAAGTTTTAAAAAAAGCTCCAGAGAGGAAAACACGATTTGGACAGTTTTACTGTTACACGTTCTATATATAACGAGAAAGAAGAAAATTAGATCAGGAGGCCACAACAGAAAGATGAATCATCATTTCAACTTAGAGCTAAAGAGATCACTTAGAAAAGATCCAACTCTATTCATAAAGCTTTTAGCAGGTTTAGTGCGTGAAACCTGTAAGGAAGCGTGTTACTCCAGGACAGAAAGTGAGAAGGTTAGAGAGGGCGAAGATCATCTTCAATAAGTTGGAAAATGATCCTGCAATAATATATAAACGAAACGTTGTGATAAACAATGCGACAAAGATGAGGACAACAGTCTGAATAATGTAAATAGTGTATTCTTTTGATAGTGTTAATAATAAATAGTATAGATGTATTGGCGTTCGTCTGACATTTTGCAATGATTAGTTTTATTAGCACCCTATATAAAGACCCTTTGCTTTGCATTCTATGTTGTTTTGTATGATCTATACACTGCGTGCCAAATTATTATCAAGATAACTTTATTTCTAATATTTCTTGACATATCTCGCGGCATTACAGCAGATGACACCCTACAATTAACAAATTCTATGGATCGTCGACTTTTTCAAGTAATTTCAAAACATTCAAAGCACATTCCCTATTAATTTGTTTAAAACTGTGCCTTTGTTTGTATCTGTTATTATTTGTTTGATTATCTTATTTATTAGCTTCTTTTGATCATAAACACTCACGTTCAACATTAATAAACGTTTTGTTTGCTCAATTCTGGGAATTTTACTAAACCTTTCTAATAATTTGGCACGCTCAAATCACCGTGCTGATAACAAATATGGCGCCAGTTTGTTTACATTGCACAGATCTGTACGAAAATTTCAGTGATTGCGCAGATGAGTGCTGCCAACATTGTGTGAAAATTGTGTGTCAATTGATTGGACGGTTTTTGAAATATTAGAAAAATAGTTATCTCGATAATAATTTGGCACGCAGTGTATGTATAAATAATTTCGTTTGATCTATATATTAAAAGATTTTGTTAGATCTATACGTTTTAATAATTCTGTTAGATTTATTTGTTTAGGCTTTGCTTTTATTTCTTAAAGGGTTCGTTTGTTTAGCAATTATAAAAATGTGAAATTTTAATTGTTTTTTTTTAATTCACAGGGTATGTAGTTTGTTGAGTATCTTGCTAAATTACGTTTCTTCTCTTGTGGGAGATGACATTTGTCTAACGTATAACCTTTGTAGCCAATTTACATCCGTACCGAAATTGACGTTGATGTCGTCTGCGATTCTGGATCCGTGGGTAGGCCATTAACGTAGGCCATTCCGATTGGTTGATTTGAATATAAACAAAACAAACCCTGCTACAATGTCCTCTCTTTTCTTTCGTATTCCTTTTCTTATTCTTGCTTTTATCGAGAAAAGAGTGTGTATGTTGCGTCTTTCTTTCTAGCTCTTTTTCTTTTTTTTCCCTTTTCTCATGCAAAGAGGAGGGTATGTTGGTTTTAAATTTCAATAAATTGTCTACCCACCAGTTATTTACTAATGCCTGATTAGATGTGTTAATACACATCGAAACCCGATTGCATTTGTGTAGCGTTTTTAAATGTTTTTGATGTAATATCCTAAAATAAAGTATATATATATATATATATATATATATAGTTAAATTCCCAGATGAATTCTGTGGACAAGACAGATTGGTATCAAATGACAATTGGAAAAAAACAACAAAAACATTTCGATTTCATTTTTGCCTTGAAAAAGTCGGAAGACGAAACGCGTTGGCAAAATGTAAGATTTTTTCAAATTGTCATTTGATACCATATATATATATTATTATTATTATTATTACTTCAGTCAGTCAGTTATGTGCAATGCATGATACACGCTTAGGCGATCATGTATCTTTCGATACATAACTGACTAGGCATTTCTTTCGATACATAACTGACTAGGCATTTCTTTCCTTCGATGACGAAGCAGATTCTTTCTCGCAGAAGGTTGCCATTTCTTTCTGCGGTAGACCAGTTGCCATCCAAAGCTATAGAACCCGGCCTGTCTTGCAGTGATTAAGAGAGGATTCATATTAGCACGTAAGTGAATGTAATGGATTCGACTGGAATTCGAACTCGGATCTCCGGTTCCTCAATCCAAGCCGCTATCCATTACTCCTCCTTACTAATACTCATTATTACTCCAATGTTGTTAAAATGAGATGTCAGTGTTATTTTCATTTTTACGTAATTTAGACGACAATTTATCCATCGCATTTTCTATTTCGCCGTTATATTGTGTTTCTTTTTAATGTTCTAAAAACTTTTCATTTTCCAGCTTGTTTGTTTTTATTTTTAGAGATAGTGACATTTTGGTCTCCTTATTTATTTTTATTTATTTATTTCTCTGACACCACATTTAAGATATGCCATCATTTTTTATAGAATGGCAAAAATAGTATTAATAGAAGATCCTACTGGATATAAAGTATGTGATCATTTTTCTCTTGTTATTAAGTAATAAACTTATTACCCAAGAATTACTTAACAATTACTTCTCATCATTTCTGACGGCATGGATAAACTAGTATTCTTATTGACTCGCGACTTTATCTCCTGATTGTGATAGATTTCTGATTAATTGGTCGAATTGTTACAAATGATGAAATTTTGGTCTCCTTGTTATTATTTGTTTATTTATTTTAATATAACCTGATTGTATAAACTAGCTGACTGGTTGATCGAACTATGGCTTTGTTTGTCTGCCGAGTTTTATTATCCGTTTATTTGTGATGGTGAAATATTGGTTTTTTGGTTATTTCTTTTTATTTATCTATTTCTCTATCACCTACCACCACAGCCTGCCTTAGCAATATTTCAAATACTATTGTATTAGATAAAACTTTTAAATAACAAAACATTAAAAATTGCAAAATAATCCTTTTTCTCTCATAAAATGAAAAAAAAACTATTTAAATCTTAGGAGATCGCCAGATAGAATGATATCACTGCTCGTTATTTGGAGTTGTTCAGATTTTTAACACTTCCTTTAATGAAATCGGTCAGCAGTTTTTACTTTTTATTATTTACAGTTTTTGAAACAATTTGTGCATTTATCTGACTTGCAGCAGACATTTTGAAAAAATTTGGCGCCAGCAATGTACCAGCAATGTACCGGCAATGTACCGGCAATGTACTCGAGTTGAATTACACGGATACATGCGGTCAGTACGGGAAAGGGAAGAAAAAAGGTAGACTTGTTTTTACGACACGCCTGAAGCCCAGATCCCCCTGTGTCAAAAGTAATTTCATTTTCAACGAGTCTTTTAAGCCTTGAATTGTTTCTTTGATTTTATTTGCTCCTGACGTCAATGGCTTACGGGCATATCACTTTGAAATACCGGTTGCTGTAGATCTCCAAAGTTAAGCAACGTCGAGTCTGATCAGTACCTAGATGGGTGACCGCTTGGGAAGACCAGCTACTGTAAG